GGGAGGTTACATAACCATTGGTATTTACTAACTGCGGCTAATCGGCCAACTACTTTTCAGCTCCTAGCCGGGAGCCAAATTGGCTGATGCCATGCGGCTTCTTCGATGAGCAAAATACGAGTGGCACGCGCCAAAAAAGAAATTCGCCACCGCAACTAAACGAAAATTAGTTTGTTATTGTAGTGGAATTGCAACAACAACTTGTTGGGACTCGGACAATTTTGCAATTGCGCATTAATGGCAGTTAGTTCAACGGTCCTGCATTGAAATCCAATTTATTGATAAAACTTTGGCGAAAATTTACGACACAGGTATACACGTGGGTGGCTTGCTGGTTATCGACTAAATAAAAGCGAAACCAAATCCAAAACCACTATAATAATAGAATAATAGAAGCGTCATTGTTGTTGCATAAAGTTCGGTATGGTGGCGTCAAGGTCACAGGAAGTGGGCGGGCTGCCGTTGCACCCGCGGCATTGACAAGGACACACGTCGCCTTGACAAGGGGTTAAGTGTTAAAGGTTGAGGCTGAAGCTCTGGCACTTGTTGAGGAAATTAACTGCCAAACTGGCAAAGTAAATTTGCGAATAATAACTGCCAGGCAGAAACTTAATTTCAGCGCAATAAAAATCAATCAAGAAGCTCTTATTTGCATACAAATTCCCAAAATCAGATCAGATACAATTCATCGGCAATATTCCCAATCAATCCAGCAAACTCAGTCAATTGGTCAAGTGCTGCCGCCATTGACCGATTGTTTCGTTTGTATTTAGTGTTTTTTTTTTAAATCAAGCCTCATTTAAATTCTGTTCGCGTGATTTGAATGGAACCACTGCGAGAAAATGTTTAACGATCTCGTTTTTATGACAGCGTCAATGCTATACGGCTTTTTTATTCGGGGCCATCAATTCATTTCACTTTCTTCCACAACACACACTGGTCACATATTTATTGAAATATTTTAAAAATATCCGGATGGTGCTCGTACCGAATGGAAATCTTTGGGAACCACTAAACCCAACCGATCAGCGATCCTCACCACCAGTGAGCTTTCCAAACGCCTTGCAACTGAGCGGCGCGCTTTGCTTGCGGTTCGATTTATAAGCCAGTTTCATTGCTGCCTAATTGAGTGATGTATATGTATGTATATAGATGTGTGTACATTTGTGTATATCTATGTGCATATGACTGGGACCATATTAAAGCATATCCACATCGAAGGCGTGCTAACTTGGTGGGGCGTGGCTGATTTCGTACCATGTCTAATGTCGACGAGAACCACAGAACCCAATGATTCCACCTTCATTTTGTGCTCTTGGCCAAGAGACTTAATGCGGTACGAACGCAGATCTAAATTAAACGTCAATATTATAGGAGTGGATCAGCGGATTATTTAAATTCTATCCAAACTAATTAATTCAAAAATAATTATTATTTTTGGACAGCTTTCAATAACTAAGTTATCTCTTACTTGAACATTTTAACTGGACTTAATTTAACAAAATTTTAGCAGCAAGTACTTTTAAGTAAATACATATGATTTATACAAAAATATTGACTTTAATGAACTATGTATTTCTTCAAGAACTTTGAATAAATTTGCGAGAAGCAGCTAGCTTTTATTGTTTACAGTTTCAACTGAAACGTACAGTTCGATTTGCTGAATCAACTTAAGTTCGCATAACATCTCCATATCCAAAATTGTACGCGTCTGTTTCTTTTGCGATAATTGTACAGTTGGAAAGTCACTGAACTCGCTGCTGACTCAATTCCATACGAACACCAAGTTTTGCATGATATCTCCAACGAATCGTGCTGTCGTAGCAAGCTTACATTTCCGCAGAGTACGCCTTTACAGAAAATGAGTACGCAGTTTTATCAATGCTGAGCCAACATAAATGAATTTCATTTGAAACCTCCACTTGTACATAAATTCGGTTGGCATCGCATATGTCCATGCTGAAATTTTAGAGTGAGTTTCATATCGCAAAATTGTGAAATTTCAATACGTTCTGGTAAATTTCCGTTGAGTCAACTTTATGAAATTTCACATAAAATCTCAATTTATACTTAGATCGCATAATCAAATTTCTCTTGACATCTTGACACTTGACATAGTACGATATGTAGATAATAGCGGGCCAAAGTTGATAAATCACTTTTAATAAATCACTTTTAAACGTTGAAATAAATTTCACATGATATGTATGTACATATCCACGTTTTAGGCCTTGACACAAAATAGTTCATTTATTCCATGTAAAACCCATGTAAATTGCAAATAAAAAATCTGGAAGCGTACGATTTATATGTATGTACATTCAGATATTTACCAAGTGCTAAGCGCAATCTACAGTTTGCTTAGTCTGAAATTTCAATCCTATATCTACATACATCTCGAGATAGTCTCTCTACCTGCTGAGCAATTTATCTTGAAACGAAATTCATACCTGAAACTTCAGCGAAATAACCTGCGAAAAGGTTTACCCAAGAGTCCAAGCATACACACACACAATCAAATTTGGGCATTATCTTTTTCGTTCCTTTTTTTTTTCTACCTTGTCATGAGCCAGTAAATCGTTGGCCCAAAGCTCGATGTGAAATTTCAGTACACGGAAGATATGAAAAACCTCGGGTCATGTGATGGCCACATGGAACTGAAGTTCTGGATGAAGAGAAGCCAAGTACACAAGACTAGACTAAGCTGAGGTCACTCACGTCGGATTCGGACTCGGAATCCGAATGGACAGCTACGGATCCAATCCGATTGGATCAAATCCGTACGGGACGAGGCTCTGACCTTGCCATGCTAGTCGTTTGCTGAATTACATACTATGTACGTGGAGTGTGTGGCGGCTAGCTGGATTAATATTCAGCTAGTACGACCACTGACACATAACTGATGTTGAAGGGCTGGCCATATGCGATAAATAATTCATCTGGGGGCATCGAAATGATCGTGGATCGCCGAGAATTGTTTGTTTTCCGTATGTTGTTGGATGGTTGAATGGATGGCGGCTGCGCCACCTGTTGGCGCCATCTTGCAAGGCACTCGCTGCTGATATTGCATATTTTTATTTGCAAATACATATCAGCTTTTGCAAATTGCGCTGGCTCATGAATAATTGATTGGCGGCGGGCGTTTATTGGAGAAATGGAAAAGTTCTCGCCCGATAAGGATGCTTTTCCTTGGCCACCACCGACACTACTATTTATGATTCATGCACCATCTACACTTCTAAAAGAGGAAAACAAACATAACTATGTGGATGGCAGCCAAAAGTGCGAAGGAAACACACGTTGATATACATATGTACATGTTATGGGTCAGTGACGATACCAGTGACGGCTTCCAAAGGGGGCTACGCATCAGGAATTTAATATTTTCTACCCACTTATGATTTAAATTGAGATAACCATAGTGTTTACATACATACATACATATGTATGCACAACTCAAAGTTTGTGCAGATCGTTATCTTTATTGATGTATTGATTAAATTAAATATTGATAGTGCTTCAGATAACGTATAAGCTACTTGTGATATTATAAGATTATGAAAGGTTGTCGAACTTTTAAACCACATCAGTTGCGAATTGAAGACCATTCCATGCTGTCAACCCCTTTGGGGGTGATCCGCCACTGGGCGATCAGCATTTTGCCCCGTTTGCTAAATCCTCTGACTTTGCGTATGTAATTAGGCTCTGAAGATAGCGCGAATGGAAATGGCATTTGGAATTGCGCTGAATTATGTATAGAACATACTTAAGTATGTCGATCGAAAATAGCATAAAACGTGCTGAATACCAGTGTTGTTACGCATGCATCTGTGTATGTGGGTGTAGAACAAATACATATGTATGCATGTAAGTGAATGGGTGTCAAAATCAGACGCACATGGAAATGTCCCGCTATAAATAAATACTAGTGGGTGGTGGTGGGTGGATTATGGACGGTGGGATGGGGGACGCGTCGCATTCACTTCCAAATACTGAAGGAACTTAAACCAAGACTAATCACAAATGCGAGTAATTAATGGAACCTGCAACTCACCCGTAAATTTGCCGGACTGTTTAGCACATCACACACCGTAACACTAACACACACTCACAAAATTGCAAGAGTTATTTGCGGGATCGAAGATAATGCTGAATGATGCTGGGATCTATAGATTTTGCCGACGCGGTCGGCGTGAATTAAAGAAGCCGACGCGATAACGCCGAGTGTCAATTACCTTTTAATAATCTCCGTTTGGCACGGGAAATCGAATCGAATCCGCATGGAGCGGCGAGATTTGCACGGATACAGAGTACGGGATGTGGCCACCAACACCAACTCGGACTCAATTACGCAAGGGCGGGCTAACTGTAAACATTCTCCGGACAAACTAAACATATGCCGCAGCAGCCATCTCTCTTTCGCTCACACCGCCAAACATAAAAAATCCGCAACTAAAACAATTTTGTTATAACAATTATCGATAGGCGGTAGGGATGTGGAAAAACACCGAATCTTTGGCGATAGCTATCGGTGTTTCATTGCTATTAATGCCATACATCGATAAATTGCCAAAACAATGTAATCTCTTGCATGTTTTAAAAATATTGAATATATATATATTATATATATATATAGATATCTCTATATTTATATCGGATGATTCGAAGATATGTATGTTTGATCTTAAATTAAACCGAATAAGGTTCATCTCTAAATTTGATCTATGCATTTGAAGCAGTGGGGCAAAGAGCCCGGTATCGAGTTATGCTTTTTATATGTAGATAGATGTTAAGCCAGAGTGTTTTGATATTTTAAATTCGCCAGCGATTTTATCGCTTTAATTATGTTATTAAATTCAAATTTAAGACCAATATATTAATGCCATTTGAAAATATTTGTAAAATGTAATCTTAAAAAGGATTAACTTTCGATAACTGAAATAAATGTTATAAAAAGAAGTAAAAAATTAAAATTTAAAATAAAAAGATCTAAACTTACACCACTGCTTAAATAAAATATGATTTAAAAATATATCATTCTAAAAAGTTTATGACAGTTCTATGTATATAAATTCTATTCGTAACCGAGCCACCTTAACATTTACTGTCAAATATCGATAATTATCATAACGCGCAAAACAGGTTGTTTTTGTCCCAGAAAAGTATTATTGCCAAAATGAGCAATACTGAGCATTTAACTACTGGTTAGTATGGCTTACTAAGTCGATAATACACCATTATAAAATGCATGTATGTTGCAGGCTCGGCAAAGCCAATATTTCCGGATGATGGGATTCTTAAACTGTATTCTATGCGCTTTTGTCCCTATGCACACCGAGTGCACCTGGTTCTGGATGCCAAGAAGATTCCCTACCACGCTATCTACATCAATCTTCGCCAGAAACCCGAGTGGTTCCCCCTGGTGAGCAGCTCCACAAAGGTGCCGGCACTGGAGCTGGTAAAGGAACCGGGTAAGCCTGTTCTGATCGAGTCGCTGATTATTTGTGACTACCTGGATGAGAGGTTTCCGGAGGTGCCATTGTATCCCAAGGATCTGCTTAAGAAGGCCCAGGAGAAGATTTTAATTGAACGTTTTGAACAGTTCATCAGCGACTTCTACAACCTGGTGCTGCACAAAAATCCCGAGCAGCTGGTTGACATCGATCACTACGCCGGTCTGGTCGCTTACGAAGAGGAACTGAAGCAACGTGGTACCAAGTTCTTTGGTGGCGACAACCCTGGAATGCTAGACTACATGATGTGGCCCTGGTGCGAGCGGTTTGCCGCTATGAAGTTCAGTTTTGATGAAAAATTCGAACTGAGTCGGGAACGTTTTCCCACTTTGGTGGGTTTCATTATGTTGCTTATTATGCATTTTAAATTATCAAGATTATTCCATTCCAGATTAAGTGGCGCGACTTGATGCTCCAGGATCGTGCTGTCAAGTGCTTCTATTTGGATGGACAGACTCATGCCAAATACATGGATTCCCGGCGATCGGGCAATGCCGATTACAATATGCTATAGTGAGATTTTAAGATTATACTTATAATACTAATACTTAATTTAATACTTATTAAACTAATCAATTTTTTGTTTTTAGCAATGAGGCCAAACGTGTCAAATTGGGTTAGTCAACGGGCTGATGGCATTTAGGCTTCAGCATTGTACATATTATTGCACTTAAAACTTTGTACCTATTACGGCAGCATTATTGTGATTGAAAAATAAATCATAGCATTTTCACTGTTAAAAGAGGCATTGTTATTCGCTATTTAAGTACAAATTTATAGGAATGTAGTATTAAGCAACAGTTTAATGTATCCAATTATCGATTCCTAGTTAAAATGTAATTTTTATACTTTGTTTTACTATGATTCCGGGGTATGAGCTTAAATAATTTACATTCAGCCCCGCCACAATCGATTTATATTCGATATACTTGCTCGTCCAGCTACTGCCACCACTATATAAGGTCGCGGAATCCCTCGATTTGTTGTCAGTCGATCAGAACTGCTTTGCCACCAACATTTCACGACTTGGGAATTATCTTAAAATTGTTAACAAAATGGCTCTGCCGCAAAAGCACTTCAAGAGGGGTGAGTGGGGGGCACTTCAAGGTCAGCGGGATAGTGACTCTGCAAAAGTTAGCAATTGATTTCATAGTTTTATCTAGACCTCACCATGAGAGGCGTAAATTACGCAGAGATAGAGATTTAATTTTAGCCCAAGCATAATGGAAAACTTTCTGCTGACGTCACAAATCACCCTTCAACAGGTTCACCCAAACCGGAAATTCCCGACGATGGAGTCCTGCGTTATTACTCGATGAGATTTTGCCCGTACTCGCAGCGTGCCGGCTTGGTATTGGCCGCCAAAAAGATTCCGCATCACACGGTTTACATCGATCTTAGCGAGAAACCAGAGTGGTACATCGACTACAGTCCATTGGGAAAGGTGCCGGCTATCCAGTTGCCACATCTGCCAGGGCAACCGGCATTGGTGGAGTCCCTCGTCATTGCCGAGTACTTGGATGAACAGTATCCGGGCGAGGGTTCCCTTTTTCCCAAGGATCCCTTGCAAAAGGCGCTAGACAGGATCCTCATTGAACGCCTGGCGCCCGCGGTCAGTGCAATTTACCCCGTGCTCTTCACCAAGAATCCACCAGCCGATGCCATTAAGAACTTTGAGACCGCTTTGGATGTCTTCGAGCAGGAGATTACCAAGCGAGGAACTCCATACTTTGGAGGCAACAAGATCGGCATTGCGGATTACATGATTTGGCCCTGGTTCGAGCGATTCCCGGCCCTCAAGTACACTCTGGATGAACCCTACGAGCTGGACAAGACGCGCTATAAGAATCTGTTGAAGTGGACCGATCTGGTGGCCCAGGATGAGGCTGTCAAGGCCACCGCCTTGGATGCCCGTATCCATGCCAAGTTCATGAAGACCCGTCATGAGAACAAACCCGACTACGATGTCGCCTTTCAGCCTTTGTAAGGAATGCAGTAATGGATGACGGGATTGAAGATACTTGAACATAAATTGTGAAGTCGCCTACCAAGAATATATTAAACCCATTTATAAAGTCGACCATAAAATGTTATCTTTGCTTCTTCAACGTGGATTTGGGTTAGGCTTTTATTCCTGCCAATTTATCAACCTTACATTGATCTTACAGGTTCCACCAAACCCGAGCTGCCCGATGATGGAGTTCTTCGTTTCTTTTCCATGGCCTTCTGCCCCTTCAGCCACCGAGTTCATCTCATGCTCGCCGCCAAACAGATTGAATATCATAAGATCTACATTGATTTGATTGAGAAGCCGGAATGGTACAAGGAGTTCAGTCCTCTGGGCAAAGTGCCAGCCGTGCAGCTCACTGGAGTAGAGGATCAACCTACCCTCGTGGAGTCGCTCATCATAGCAGAGTACTTGGACCAACAATATCCCCAAACACGACTCTTTCCCAAGGATCCGCTTCAGAAGGCGCTGGACAAGATTCTAATTGAACGATTTGCTTCAGTGGTCAGTGCTATTTACCCTGTGCTGACATGTAATCCCAATGCCCCGGCAGATGCCATACCGAACTTCGAGAATGCCTTGGATGTTTTTGAAGTGGAGTTGGGCAAAAGAGGAACTCCCTACTTTGCCGGACAACTCATTGGAATCGTGGACTACATGATTTGGCCTTGGTTTGAACGTTTCCCCAGTATGAAAATCAATACGGAGCAAAAGTATGAGCTGGATGTGAAAAGATTTGAGAAGCTGGTATGTTAAAATTATACAATAAAGATATATGTACCTCATTGTAATGCATTCTCCTTCAGCTAAAGTGGCGCGATTTGATGGCCCAGGATGAGGCTGTGCAGAAGACAGCTTTGGATGTTCAGCTGCATGCCGAGTTCCAGAAATCCAAGACTATTGGAAGTCCCCAGTACGACATAGCCTTCAAGGGAAAGCCTTAGAACGCCAACAGGTTTAGCCAAGATCAAATCTTTGCAACCGGTTTTGGACTGCATTTATGTTTTATTCATTCCAATCGAACAATTCAAATATACCAAGTGCATCAGGCATCCTTCACCAGCAGATTGTAGTTAGGTCGACCCAAGCTGCGTGTGCGCAAGAACTCTGCCTGAACCTCGGCCTCCATGTAGAAGGCCATCACAGCCGGATCCCGTTTCATGCGTTCCACCCAAAGAGTCTGAAAAATAGTATATAGTATCTACTTCAACAATCCGGGAATATACGGAGCTGCTCACGAGCTGCGGGAAGCGGCGCTCATCGTAGTTATAATCCTCTGCACGCTGCAACTTAAGGAGGTCGAGGCGCTCACACCAGGGCCAAATCATGTAGTCTAGTATGCCCGTCTGCTCGCCACCAAAGAAGTCTGTACCGCGGCGAGTCAGCTCTCTTTCGTAGATGTCCAGGCCGCTCCAGAAAGGCTCCAGATCACCGCCATCGGATGCCTTAAAGAAGGCACCTAGCACCGCTCCAAATCGCTCGATTAGTAGCTTATCCTGCACTTTTTTCAGCGGATCACGTGGATAGAGTGGTCGCAGTGGATACTGCTCGTCCAGATATTCACAAATCAGTAGCGACTCTGTGAGCACAGGTGGTCCAGGTTCTCGCACAATTTCTAGAGCTGGTACCTTGCCCTGTGGATTCTTGTCCAGCAGCCACTCTGGCTTCTCTGTGAGATTAATGTAGATGCTGTGATACGGGATCTGCTTGGCGTCCAGGACCAGATGCACTCGTTGGGCAAATGGGCAGAAGCGCATTGAGTACAGGCGAAGGATACCATCTTCGGGAACATCCGGCATGGGTGAGCCTATGGGACATATTTATTTATATCTCCGATAACATCCTGGATATACCCACCTTTTGCCAAATGCCTGCCGTTACTCATGATGTGCTTGCTCGGGTCCAGAGATGCAAGTGGTGATAGCGATTGCCATTCGAGTGATTTATAAAGAGCAGCTGACTGCCCTTCGCCGGCTGTCTTCGTTTACCCGGCTGAACTTGGTGGCTTGCGGCTGACACACATACCAAGCCATGTGGATACAGTGAAGCCTCTTTGGAATCTGCACACTGCTCCATAAGCGCAAACAACTGTTTTTTGCATTTAAAGCATTGTATATAACAATGAACTGATTTCTCGATAAGTCTACAGTTATATAGATTTTACTACCAATTGAAAATTGGTGTATACTTCTTCATAATAATATTAATCCAAGGAGATTACCATGTACCCTTGTATAAGTAAAGGATAAGTAAATATTTTATTTATTATTGTTATTTAGAGCATAAATAAATCTCCTTGTTATATTTTATTTACAGCAGTGATCTAAGCCAGCAGATCGTAGTTTGCATTGCCGGCCTTGCGGGTGCGCCAGAACTCGTTGTGCTGCTCGGGAGTGGCATAAAAGGACTTGACCACCGAGTCCGCCTTCAGAAGAGCAATCCACTTGCTGATCTTGGGGAAGCGAGCCTCGTCAAAGTTGTACTCCTCCTGCAACTTCAACTCGATCACAGAGAGGCGTTCGAACCAAGGCCAGATCATGTAGTCCACGAAGCCGGGCTTGTTGCCACCAAAGTATGGGGTACCCCTCTTGGTCAACTCCTGCTCAAAGATGTCCAGCGCCGCCCAGTAATCCTCCAGACCGGTGCTCTGCAACAGGATCTTCATGAAGGCATTGGTGATGCCGCTGAAGCGCTCCAGCAGAATCTTGTCCTGGGCCCGCCTCAATGGGTCCTTGGGCAGTAGCGGATTCTCCGGGTACTTCTCGTCCAGATACTCGGCAATAATCAGCGACTCGATGAGCGAGGGCTGATCCTTCTCCGCCACCAGCTGCAGGGCAGGAACCTTAAGCAGTGGGCTCACGTCCACCAGCCACTCTGGTTTCTCGGTGAGATTGATGTAAATGCTGTGATGGGGCACATTCTTGGCATTCAGGACGAGATGTGCTCGCTGTGCGTAGGGGCAGAACCTCATGGAGTACAGGCGGAGAACTCCATCGTCAGGGAGGGCAGGTTTGGGGGAACCTGAGAAATGTATTTATATGCCAGTTAATGATTCTGTTAGCCGATAAAATTTGTATTTAGATATTAAACAAATGTATTTTTGTAATATTTTATTTACTATCAACATAACTTCATGAGTCACTTAAGGGGTTCGAAAATCCGACCCTGTATTATTCGTTTAGCAAGTCATTGCACTAAAGTTGATGTTGATAGGGCCCAGTCGTGATATAGCTCAAATTTTGTCGATACGTTATCTTTTAAAGTGTAAATATTGAGGTTCATCTGATATCGGGTTTAAGGTGCAGCTCAAAATTGAAATACAATTTATAAATTAAACTATATATATATTTATATCATCATGAAAATCATGATGAAGTTTATTTACGATACGCCAAATATTATATTATTTTACATATATAATATTTTGCCCAAAAAACCCAATTATTCATGCGAATTTGTGTAACATCATGAAATACAAAATCGTTATTCGATCATTAGGTAGAATGTTGGAGAACTTGTTTTATAAATAATAATACAAACAATCTAGTGACATGGGCGATTCTCTTGGTGGCGACAACAACTGGTTTTCTCTTACCTTTGGTCAAATGTTTACCAGAACTCATTTTGGTTACTAACTTGGTTACTGAACAAAATTCACTTAACTGTTGATGGCGACGTTGAATTCCGAACTGAATTTTCTCTTCGACGGCGCTCTGTTTTTATAAAGGCGATTAATCGCTGGGAATGGGAATATGAGCTTTTTTTATGGTGACTCTTAGTTTTGTCGGCTCTTGAAATAGCTTTTAAAAAAGATAGAAACAATTCTCATCGCAGATGTTTATTTCGTTTTAAAACGCTCTACTACATTTGCGAATTGTTTGGGGAACAAATAATTATCCTCCGGTTTATACATACATCTACTTAGTTTGTTAATAATCACGCCTTGTAAATATAGATATTATATTATATTTTTACATGGTTGTTGGGGGGAGTTTTTTAATTGAACTTCGAACTACTACATACATTTAGAGTTTTAAGTTTATGAACTTTTCGCAAAAAGTTACAATCGGCGGACTTTCAAAATAAAACTTAATCTATGTACAAAAAAGTTCTCGAAATTTCTGTTCATGCCTTACAAAAAACTATAAAAATGTATTAGTACATATACAACAGAGTTGCTGACATCATTAAGTCGCGATAAATAGTAGTTATTAGTAATTGCATTAAAAAAAAAAACTAATTGGAACGTAATAAAAAATGATTACTGCATTTGTTGCTCCAATTAATTGTTTATCAAAAGTAAAAATATCTATCCGCTGCTTTTGGTCCTACAAATGGGATTTCTTTTGGTGCATCCTTTTGAAAACTCAAGTGGATTGATTTTTATTTCCTTTTAAAAATGTCCGCAAATGGAAAACATTAAAATTATTCGTACACTTTTAATGATTAAACTGTACGTTTTTCCCGAATCAGTTGCGCGTTGTTGTTACTGTAATTACATGGGGTAAGTAGCTAAAACTAAGTAGATACGAACACTTAAAAAAATTCTACACACTGGAATTAAATGTTGCTTTTCTTTCGTTTCTGAATTTCTTGCTTTGTTTTGTTTTGCATCGTTGCCTGACGATTCCGTTTCTAAGTTTCGTTTATAGTTTCGTTAATTTTTTTTCGCAATTTTGTATTTTGTTTGTTGCTCTATAAAATATGCAAACTGGTTGCATTTTGATCACGGTTCTTGCTGTTGCATATAAACACATCCCTCTCTCTTTTGATTATTGGAACGACTTGATTTTTTTGAAAAAGAAAAAGAATATGGCTGCTTTTCAAATTTATCCCTGGGCACCCCGAATGCTTCAGTTCCACTTGCCAAGTGTCCAGAACGAATCGATGGTGTTTTCAAGTTGATCCCGATGCCTGCCCTTAGCCATTCGGTGAGGTGGATGCTCCAGGAGATGTGGGTGTGGCTGCTGCAGATACCACTGCATCGTTGTTGCTCATCTTGTGTAACATGAGGGAGTGCGTCGATCTGGTGGCGGTGGAACTGAGATACTTTGGCTGCATTTGGCTGTTGGACACTGTGGAAGAGCTGCTGGTCGCCGGCGGTGGCTGATGGCTGCAAGTGAACAGAGTTCATCAGTGTGCTCTTGCTAGCCCTTAGGACACACACCCCTTCTGCTCGCCATCCTTCTTGCTGTTAAACATGGCCAACTCGATCTCCGTGTGCTGGCTGTTCATGTGACGCACCCACTCCGCTGGCGTATCGAAGGATCTGTACATTGGAAGGGGATATTTGGATATTTTGGTTTTATAATGGATTTTTATCTCTGAGCACTTACGTGGAACACAAATCGCAGAGCAGGGTTACGTGATCGTGATCCATATTGTTTTCCTGTTGCTGAAAAACGAAATATATATCTGGTTTTAATTTTGCTAATATTATTTGAGAACTGATCATTATTACGAGTTTATATCTTACTTATATTATGTAATATTTCCGAGCAAACGGCTAATTGACTTCATTCATAATATAAACATATAGTTATACCCGTTACTAGTATGTAACAGGCAGAAGGAAGCGTTTTCGACCATATAAATTTTATAATATATATATTTTCGATTAGGATCAATAGCCGAGTCGAACTGACCATGTCCGTCTGTCCGTATGAACGCCTCGATCTCAGGAACTACATAACCAGGATGTTATCTTAATCGGATTTTGAAGTGGCATACCTCTAAATGTTTCTGGCGCAGTTCTCTAAAAATCTGCGTTCAAATTTAGAATTTTATTTTTTTTAATTTTTTTGCAATTTTTTTGATATGACGATATTGTAGAAATGGAAAAAAATGAAGAAATGTCCCAAGGCTGAAGTTCTAAACTCCATAACTCAACTTATCTTAGTCGGATTTTGAAGTGGCATACCTCCAAATGTTTCTGGCGCAATTCTCTAAAAAATTGCATTCAAATTTAAAAATTTATTTTGTTTAAATTTTTTTGTAATTTTTTTTATGTGGTGATGTTGTAGAAATTCAAAAAAATTAAGAAATGCCCTGAGGCTGAAGTTCTAAACTCCATAACTCAACTTATCTTAGTCGGATTTTGAAGTGGCATACCTCTAAACGTTTCTGGCACAAATCTCTAAAAATCTGCATTCAAATTTAGAAATTTATTTTTTTAAAAATTTTTTGTAAAATTTTGATGTGACGATGTTGCAGAAACTCAAAAAAATGAAGAAATGTCCCAAGGCTGAAGTTCTAAACTCCATAACTCAACTTATCTTAGTCGGATTTTGAAGTGGCATACCTCCAAATGTTTCTGGCACAAATCTCTAAAAATCTACATTCAAATTTTGAAATTTATTTTTTTTTAATTTTTTTGTAAAATTTTGATGTGACGATGTTGCAGAAACTCAAAAAAATGAAGAAATGTCCCAAGGCTGAAGTTCTAAACTCCATAACTCAACTTATCTTAGTCGGATTTTGAAATGGCATACCTCCAAATGTTTCTGGCACAAATCTCTAAAAATCTACATTCAAATTTTGAAATTTATTTTTTTTTAATTTTTTTGTAAAATTTTGATGTGACGATTTTGTAGAAATTGAAAAAAATTAAGAAATGTCCTAAGGCTGAAGTTCTAAACTCCATAACTCAACTTATCTAAGTATATAAAGTATATATATTCTTGATCAGAATCAATAGCCGAGTCGATCTGGCCATGTCCGTCTGGACAGGAACTACGAAAGTTAGAATGTTGAGATTGAGCATGCAGCTTCTTGAGACATAGACGCAGCGCAAGTTTTTTGTAAATGTGGCCACGCCCACTCCTACGCCCACAAAATGCCCAAAACTGTCACACAAACACATTTGAAAAATGTGATATTTTCAATTTTGAATATATCATGTAAATTTGTATAAATATACTAGGTAGTTCTCAAACGGCAATTATTGATTTATTCATCGAATGGATAAGTTGATGTCCAAGTACTCACCGAAACTCGGCGTCGTTTCTTTGGCACATAGGTTTTAACAGATCGCAGGGCGTGGTTGCTAGAAACGGATGTGGTACTTCCGCTGGCACTGGATGGCAGAAGGTTCCTCTCTGTGCCGCCCGTGGGATCTCCGGCATGTGTGCCTAGGTGACGGACCAGCATTTTGGTATCCTCGAAGGACTTCTGACAGATCTCGCAGACCAGCAGCTGCTTAAAGTTGTTATAGTCGCGCAGCGTGTGCTCCTCACCCTCCTCGGAGGGTGTTCCGCGATCCCTATTCACCTCCAGCTTCACGGCAGACATTTTAAAGTCGAGCGGCTGCTTGGGCGAGCCCAATGGCACCTCCTCCAGATTGTTGTTGTTGGACGCACTGGAGGCATTTGGTGGGTTGTTGCTCCAGTCGGTCGGCTCCTGTTTGATGGTTAGGAAGTTGTGCGGATGTCGAAGTGTCGGCGGATGTGATTGTGGTGTCGGCTGTGGTGGTGGAGGAGGTGTGGCTGCCAGGCGTGACGGCACCACGTGCTCAAAATGAGGTGCTTCATAGTAGTCTCGAGCTAAAGGGATTCAAACATACGATAAGTATTTATCTTCTGTGCTGAGTAATGGTACTCACATCTTTCGCATGCGCTCTCCCTCCTCAGACGTCTCTCGAAGACCAGCCCTACCTCGTTTCGCTCACGAAGTGCCTGCTCCTCGTACTCTGTCCGTCGGAGCGTGGTCTCTGCTTGGTCAGCACCCGGACCGGCGGCCAGGGGACAACTGCTGCAGCCCACTTCCGTGCAAATGGAGATGGGCTGCGATGGCGGGGCACCTGAACCTCCCACTGCTCCTCCTGCTGTCGTTGTCGTGGAGGTTGGTGGTGGCGGATGAGACTGTGACTCCACCTGGCTGGGTGCTGCGAAACAGCATTTGTCCTCCGGATCGATGGCCACCTCCTTGTTGACGGAAATGCCCAGCTTGCTGCTGCTCGCGACGGTTAGGAGTCCCGTATGAGCGGCCAATTTGGGTGACTTAATGATCACGGGCGAGTCTTTGGGCATCACGGAGGCACCAAGTCCGCGAAACTGCTGTTGAGGATTATGGTGATTCAGGTGGCTGTGGTGTGACGACAGGTGGTGGTGATCCAAAGCGAATCGAGTCGATCCTCCCGGCTTGCCTGTGTATAGATCTCCCTGAAGTTGTGCCGACATGGTTGATTGTGGCGGCGGAGGAGGCGGCAATGCGGTTCGAGTGCCATTCGACATGTACATGGTGCTGGCCTCGCGCGGATGCAGATGCCCGGCCAGTGAATGGGGGTGGTGCGTGGTCGTGACCACTGAGCCGGAGCCACCGCCATTGGAAGAGCTGGTGCGGCACAGGCCGCGGATCTTGAGGATCTCACCGCCGCGCAGTACCTCGTTGAGTATGTCGTTAGAGACGGTAGCCTCGCCGCTGTACATGTACTGAACCAGGATCTGGATGGCTCGGTGACTAAGATCCGGCGGCAACACCACATAGAGCACTCCATTGGGATTTGTGATCGGTGCCGTTTCGAACATGGTGGCGAAGAACTGGGACGAAGCACTCAGGATGAACTTGTGGGCCGAGATGCCCACCGTGGGTATATCCGAGGGGATTCCGCTGCTATTGTATGAGCTGTACAGTACGACATCGGCGAACTTTTCATTCCTAAAGGAACATGTTATACGTTAATAAAGCATTCATACGTATTTGGTAGGCTTCTTAGAGAATATTGAATAAGGAATTTTAGGAAGTGTATGTTTGATCCTTTTACATTTATATATTCATTGTTTTTGAACATTAAACAATTAAAAACGTTGCCAGCCCACAATTACAAAGACCAAAAACTTCAGACATGTACGGACTGTGGTATAGTGGTACTTACTTATAAAGTGTGGCTATGGAAGAGTTCAGATAGGTGAGGTGTGAGTCCCACTTGAGGTGATAGTTTTCGGCGGCCATCTCTGCGGCCGGCGGCTCCTGTACAACGATGAAATCAATAAATAAATCAATAAATGCCGCCAGTCAGTGGGGTGTGTATTTTGAATCCCCCGATCACACCACACCACCCAAGGTGTGGTGAATAGAGGGTCAAACCACCATGCCCTTGTGCCAGTATATTTATCAGATGGAGCAACGGTCATACTCATTGACTCGTTTCCATTGTGGTTGTAAAAAAATATTGTAGTAGTGGGGAAAGATAATTCTAAATTCTCTTATTTATCTTGAGTAGATTTTAGATTTCGAAAGAATTTATATAAATCATTGGTCTACACTGTTCTAGTTTATTTCTATTTCCAAAGATAAATTGTCAAAGGACTCGTTTCTTGTTTGGCGGTTTTAGAAACCTCATTTAAAAATACAAAATTAATCAATTTAATTTGCTGATGAAAGAAGTTTTAACACGTATTTTAAAATGTACTGTCTTCAGCTTACTTTAACAAAAAAAACGCATAAAGGATTTTTAAATCGGAACCAATTCAGGTAAAGAAAATATTTCAAACGCACTGTCAAAATATAACAATTTTGTGCGTTCAAAAAATAAATTATTTGCGGGTATGGATAGGATTTTTAAATTGTGAAATTCCAATTCAAGACTATACACATATTGTAAGTGTAAATCAGTCACCAAAACTTGGCGGGAATAAACACACACACACACGAAAACAAATCGGCGCTCTCAGGCTAAAAATGTTGCGGGAAATGCGTTTTTGAATGTCCGCACTTACTTTTACACACTTTAAATAGGCATCTTTATGCTTATTTTTCAAGTGCGACAAGAGGTTTGAATTACCTCCATTCGTTCTAATAGACTTGCTGCATAGATTGCAGGTTGCGCTGTTGTTAATTACTGCAGTATAATAGCTTTTTGCCGCGCTCATTTTTCTTCCGTTTTCCTTACGTCCTTTCATTTTGCACTTGATTATATTAGTGGGACCAATGAGAAATATAAAAAACATATTCTTGCAGAAAACGCGATATACGCGATATCTCTCATGTGAACAAATATCACGATATAAGTATTTATTTTTATTAAAAAATATCGATATATTGATATTTTGATATAGTTTTCACATCCCTAGTTTCCATTTGTTTACATATTTTTGTTTTTATTTTGAAATTATTGAAATGTCGGAGTTTGACTCGCGACTAATTGAGTTGGTTCGGGCTAATCCCAAGCTTTATGAGCGGGAACTTAGAAACTCACCCTATGAAGCCCATAAGAAGCGACATCCGGAAATCTGGAGCAGCATCTCCACCTCATTAAATACAGATGGTAAGAAACTAATAACTTCTATAGATATTTGGTAAATTCTCTTTATATTTTGACTTAGTTAGTGCCTGTGTCAGTCGTTGGAACCATTTGGTGGCCAAACACCGTCGGGAGCTGGCCAAAGAAAAGGCCGGAGGCACTGGCTCCGATTGGAGCCTTCTCCCGCATTTAAAATTCCTGCAGCATCATCACCATCCGTTTAATCACCGGCATTCTAATGATTTGAGTAAAAACGCACTAAAATCCAATGAAGAGGTCAACGATGAGGAGGATCCACTCCAGGAGGCCATGGATGAGCAGTTGGCCGTGGCGGGAGCTGCACCCCCAACCACAAATCCTGCCCAAGCACCGGCCGTGGCTCCCGTCAGGGCAGAAAGGAGGATAGAAGCTCTGCTTGAAGGACTAGGAGAAGCGAACCGAATTAAGGCGGAGAAACGCATTCTGGCCTACCTATGCAAATGCAATCTGCGCGTCCTCAACGACGAGCAAATCGATGATATAGTCATTTAGGAAGATATCCATGATAGAACATCAAAAGCAGCAAACATCACTGGTCATATAACGATGTTATAGTTATAGTTTATATCTTTGGACAATTATCCGTAGTGTACACTAAGAGACTTCATTTTTTAAATTTATGCTTCCCTATGAATTATTGTTAATCCATTTGTTGAACTTAACTTATTTCTTAATAATTCAACCTAATGAGTTTTTGCTATTCAAACTAAATCTTGAATTTAAGATATGATAACAGATTAACTTTTAAAATCAGCTGTTTTGGCAATTTAAATTTGTATTTGTATAAAAACCAAAGCATCATGTCTGCATCAATTGTCGCCAAAGGTCGTTTATAGACCCAGAGATTCAGGGGATAGTATAGTAATGCAGTAGGCAGCTATCTGTATGGGCCAAGCCAACTTTGGGCTAGCAGGAGCAGGTGGTAGGCGAGGGAAAATCGAATTCAGCCACGCCAAAAAACTCCTACTATGACGCAGCTGCTGGTGGGAACTGGTCAAAGAGTCAAAGAGTGCGCGCGCAAGCAATAACATGTCCAATATCCATGTCTGGATCGGATCGGGGGAAGGCGCCCAGCACGGGGACAGGGCGACGACGACGCCAAAACAAGCATTTAGTTTAATAATTCGAGGACTCCCAAAGGGGCGCGGTGGGCCGAAACAAAAACATAACGAGCGAGGAGCGTCGTGCACCCTTAACGACTGATGCCACACTACCCCGTCGAACCGACTGAATCCCCCATTCCCACAGTCTCCCATTCCCATTCCCCCGTACATGGTGAACCCTCGACGCACTAAGCCACTATATGAACTACTCCTACGGCCAGCCACCTTCCCATTCCCAATCCCCGGACCCAGCTCTTGGTATTAACACCGTATTATCGATTGATTTCCAGCACAAGCACACAACAAAAATCAATAAGCTGCCAGAGCCAAAATCAAATATTGTACAGTTCTGTGATTGTTAGTTCAATGTTCTTGTCCGCCCTAAAAGTTATAAACAATTGGTAGAGTCTGATGTATACTTACGCCTTAATAAATTGATTTTCAAAATACGCGCCCAAAATGTTTAAATGCTACATTTAACTGGAAATTCACCTTGTCTCGCCTCGCGGTTTTTATTTGGTTTAATTCGCTTCACTGGATGAATTGGATGTAGTCCGTGGAATTTGGGGGACCGTGCTAGTTCGTTATTTGTTAAAAATGAATAATTTGTTATTGCTCTTCATTGAGAACGCTGGGGAAAACCGTGCGACTTGGACTTTTGAGCTGGGGAAACTGCGCAGCGCGTCGTTTGAGCTTTCGCGTTGGTGCCCACCGAACGAATGAAATCGCAGTCAAAGAAACAGGACCAAAAGGACTCTCCCAGGCGAGAGAGAGAGCACTGAAATAGACGGGGTGCGAGCCACAGGATGCGAGAGAGCAGCCCTCGTCCTCACGTGCGCATTGTTATTGTTGTGGTTGGTTCGAAGTTGGATACGAAGCGCGCGTAAAATTGATTTCCCTTGCATATTGATTTTTGGTATCTCACTTGGCCTACACCGCCTCCTCAGCCCCCTGAGTTTCCGCTTGCTCAGTTTCCTGCCCATCCTCGTCGGCCACCTCCTTCGCCACCTCCATGTCTTCCTCTTGGGATACCGCCTTCTTTTCATTGTCCTCCTTGCCCATTGCCTGCTTTTCTAGCAGCGTTTGCGACGTTGAGGATGTGTCCTGTTTCAAGAGTTCCCGCAGAAACATGGTGGCATAGGCGGCCGTGGGCAGCGAGAACTCTAAGAGGAGTGCCATGTAATTGGCCTCAGCTTCAGCTGGCTCTGGTGTAACCGGAATGTTCTTCAACAGCTCCCAGTCGGAGGCAATAAGAGTATCCTCTGGCGTGTTGTACATCCTAAAGCTCCACTTGAGATCACTGGACGATATGATCATCTTGCGGTAGGCGCCGGCCAATGCATATGTCTTCTCCTTGTGCTTAAGTTGATCCGATGAGAGACCCACTTCGGCCAGCAATTCCTCATACCAGGCACCGCACTCGTTGGCGGGATAGGTGATGTCGTGTCCTGGCAGGGGAAGGACCACATCAGAGAGTTTATATTTGCCGCTAGCAATGTCTTCTGCTGTGAGCGGGCGAACCTTTCGTTTGAAAACAGACTCCTCTTCGATGGCTTCATCCTCTTTAGCTGCTTCCATGGGCTCATCGTTAGGCTCCTCTTCCTTTTGCTCATCCAAGGCCTCGGACTGTTGTAACTCCGCTTCCACGTCTTCCGGCTGATCCTGCTCCACATAAACCAAATCCCCGGGAATTAGTTTCAAGCCGAACTCCTTAATCCTTCTAGACGCAATCCTGTTAAAGATCAGACTTTGGTAAGCATGTGGATATAGCATCAGCGTGTTGCGTGGTATCTGTCGCAGAGCTGATGAGTAATCTGATTCCCCAAATTTAGCCAAGCCGTCCAGCAGCTTCTTCTCTATGAACTTTTCGCCGTAGATTTTTGCAGCTGCCGCCGCGGAGTCGCGATTTTTCCACCACTCCTCGCGTATGGGACGCATAAACTCTACATCCGAGTCCCGGGGCTTTAGTATCAGTTCGCAGGCCAGTTTATAATCGTGTTTGAGCAGAGCCACACCCACCTCATAGGTGGGCACGCTGGCACTGTTGCCGAATCTCTGCAACCCATAATAGTTGATGAAACCGCGTTCCTTCAATGATTGCAGTGCCTGCTCGATTTCGTCCCGCTTCTCTTTGGCGATGTGTCGCAAGGCAATGCGGAAACGATTGCCCTGCAAGTCTCCCAGCTTTAGTGTATTGGATTCAAATCCAAAGTTGCCTATCTGAACATTCCGTTGGCAGCGAGCTGCACCCAAAATGCTCTCCGGTGTTCGGCGTTTGATGGAAAACTTCTGGGTGGTCTTGGCCCGCTTGTCCTTGATGCCGCTGTAGTTAACCTGGGAAGGTCGCAAGCTGTCAGAAAATATTGTTAGTACATTAAAGCATTTAAAATTTAATTAATCTTACTTCAGTCGCGATGCTAATGTGGAGGCCACATCGCTGGTAACCAAATTGGTTTTGTGCACAAGAAAGGTCACGTAATCCCCGGGAAAACTCCAGCGTTTGTCACCTATCGAATTGGAGTCATAAAAAATGGATTCCCTAGCTAATCATTTCTACTAACTGCGTCCTGGCTTTGGCTTAAGTATTCTTATAGTCTTCTTTTCCTCTGCCGGCACCGGTGAGGCTTCCTGAGTTGAGGTTTCATCCTCAGCCGCATCGTTCTTTTCCACAGATGCCTCCTCCTGGACCTTGGGCTTAGCCTGTTGCTGTCCAATGGTGGTGGACATTAGCTTACCCTTGTAAAGCTGCTTTATCAACTGGTGGACTTGTGTTCGCTGCTCCTTGTCCAGAGTGGTCACATCAATCTCCACCTTTTGCTCGATCCTAGGATCGTTTTTGGCCGCGGCCAGATTGGCTATATCCTGCCAAACTTCTGGGCCAATTACTGCCTCCAGTTCTTGCCGCCAGTTGTCCAGTTCTTTTTCGGGCACAGCTGTTGTATTATTAGATGCATTAGAACGTTTGGAATGGAGTAAAATTGTCAAATACAGACCCGCAATAGCCACATTTGGCAAACTAAGATCGTTCAGTTCCAGCACTTTTCCGTTGCTATCAATCTCGTTAACGTGAAAATCGGAGAAGCGCGACTTGAGTATTCCCGTGAAACCAGGTGCATCCGGGTTAGTGAATTCCGTAATGCCCACTTGGTTCTCCTGCAGCGTGCACTTCTGTGGTGGAGCATTTCTATCCAAGAATCTCAAAATAAAAACGCCGGTTAGCAACGATATTGTTTATAGGATTGAATATATACCTGTTGCGCGGACCTCCTCCATTGTTTTGGGGGCGATCCCGCTTCTGGCCACGCCAGTTGCTCTTGTTGTACGGTCCGGAATGGTGATTTCTGCGTCCTCTGCCCCGATCCTTGCCCATCGCGATTCAAAATGCTCGTTTCAAAAGTAGTCGGCAAATGAAATCCACGTTTTGCAGCACATATAATGTGCCCATTCACAATAAACTTAAAACGTTTTTTTAGAGTGACCACAAGAACTATTAATTCGAAAAAACTAATATTCTAAAATGGTTTATATGATTTCTCAGCATAAGTTCATATATAAAAATAATTTTTATTTTTTGTGTGATTAACATACATATAATTACATATATATATTATCATTAACAATTAAACATTGTTAGTATATTTTAATCATTCACACTATAGTATTTTTTGGTATTTGTCTCATGCCTGTTCAGGTTCACACTGCATACATAACGTAACATTGTGTTCAATACAAAGAAGCATTGGAAATAAGTGTTAAAATTGAGAAATAACCAAAAATAGGAAACGATTCATTCATTAGGTTCAGCCAAGGAAGCGACGAAATGTTACCGCATATGAACGCGGACGAGGCACTGCCGTCCATGACGCGAAAGGTGTACATCAATCCCAATTTCCAGCTGCAAGGTCAAACGGCGCATCAGCTGCCATTCCAAATGGGCTTCCAGGCGTTCCAGGCGCCACCGCTGCCTCAGCCCGCGATCCACATCAATCCGCACTTCCTGCATCGCCAACGTGCCATGTACGAGCAATGTCAGTGGGAGCAGCAGGAGCAGCTTATGATGCAACAGGTTTCCGCCTCGTACTATCAACAGGATCCCCTAGTGCCAACGATTCCCTTACTGGCCACACCTCCTTCTCCGCCCGCCAAGATCATCAGCAAAGTGAGCACGTGTCTCGTGCGCAAGCCACCAGTGGTGCCAAGCGCTCCGCCGGTGAAGCCCACTGCTCCTGTACCTGTGTCCAAACCTATTCCCAGCCTTGTGCAGCCTCCATTGGTAAGCATTTCCAAGCGGAAGATTGTGCGCCAAGGAGCTCTGAAAACAGCGCCAGCTGTTGCTGCCCCCCATCCTCCTCCACCTGCCAAACGCACTAGGTACAAATTAGTGCGCGCCATATCACTTACCTGTACACCGCTGGTCAAGAAGCGTCGTCCTCTTCGCGAGTTTGTGGGTCAGTACGCATTGAGACGCACCAATGAAGCGCAGCCTACAAAAAAACTGAGGTAATGAAGTTCGGATACGAGCGCTAGTGCCAGTCAAGCAATAGTCGACTCTATTAGGCCGTAAAACGTACATCAACTAACTTGACATTCATTACAGCTCCAAGCCGCAGGTGCCGAAGCTGGGCGTTAACAAATCCCTCAGCATGGTCAGCATACACGGCGTGATGTACAAGAAGATATCGAAGAACAAGATAACCAAGCTGGATGCTAGTTCCGCCGCAAGGGTAGCCAAAACAGAAAGTCCCAGGACCTTGCAGCGTACCTTATCTGGCAGAACCCTCTTCGTCAGCGGCAATAAGTTCATCCTAGATCCTTCCGGATGCCGCTTGACCAGAGTACCACCCTCAGGAGGTGGTGCTACCCAGAGTAGCGTAAATCGTAGCATCCTACGGCGCATCGATATTGGTGGCCTAACCTATGTGGCTTCGCCCAAGGCGCTGAATGTCTTTGTACGCACCACCAATCACGTATCGAGAGCTCATCTAATCACAGCCAAACAGAGAAGTCTGACGTTGCTCAACAAATCATTGGTGAAGACCAATGTGCCTTGTGCCATCTTCCAGAAACTGGGCAAGTGCGCTGCCCACAGTCGCGGCAAGTGCCGCAAGCTGCACGATAAGCGGCAGGTCGCCATCTGTGTCAGGTTTGTCCTAGGCCAAGCGAGGAGTGCTAAACCTTCGATGGCGTTCAAGGTTCGAAGTTCTCAATGCGGGTTTCTTCTTAAAATCTTTTACTTGCAGCTTTCTGCGCGGCGAATGCACCAAGCCCGAATGCCTGCTGTCCCATAATGTCACCCTGGAGAAGATGCCCGTCTGTCGATACTACTTGCGTGGCGTTTGCGTTCGCGAGGATTGCCCGTACCTACACAAGAAGCTGAGCAGCAAGACCGAGATCTGCATTGACTTTGTGCGCGGCTACTGTCCGCTGGCTGCCGAGGTAAGTTTGTCTCGCACTTATTTGCTTTGATAACCTATTAACTCCAATCCTTTTTAAGTGCAACAAGCGTCACGAGTTTGCCTGTCCCGAGTTGGAGCGCAAGGGCAAGTGCGAATTGCCCAGGTGCGTGTTCTGTAAGAAACCGCAATCAAAGCGGTTGGCTAAGGTCAAGTCGCGTCCCAAACAGGCCAGTAAACCTGTCGCCGTCCCGGATACCGCGAAAGAACCTGCCACCGAGGAGGAGTTGCCCACCAGTTCACGGTATTTTGGGTCCCACAAGAAACC